ACAGCGGAACTAACAGATAAATCACTAGGATTAATTTTAGCCTGGTTGTTAGCCTGCTCTGGAGCAGGCTAGCTGCAAAGAATATCTCTCCATAGTAACATAATTTAGCTTAATTTAGCCTGCTTTCATGCAACTGAGTCGGCTACATTCAACCAGGATAACTGGAAAATCTCAGCTTAATCCCTTATCTTGCTTTTGTGCAATACTCCTCAGGTCTGATTTTTTTCCACTAAGCAAAAAAAATAAAATCACTTGATATGCTCTTCTCCAAGTAGAAATAAGTCTAAATAACAAGATTTGTGCAAATTCATTTTTTTATTAGATTTTTTTTTCATGTCCACTACAATGGATGCCAGGACTGAAGCAAACTAAAAGTGCACTCATAATTTAACCATACTAATCAATAATCAGATTTGTTCAATTAATTTTTTTGTCAAATGTTATTTTAAACGTTCCCTGAGAAATATTCACTGGAGTTAAATGTGTGGAGAAAACTAGCCGATTTTTTCTAGTAACAATTATAATATAGAACTCAATTAGTAATTAATAAATAAATAATTGATAACTGAATTTGTTAGTCATCTGCTTAAATAGTTACAAGCTACTACAGGATCATTATTAGTAACTTTTAAATAGTTACTACCTGTTATAAAAATTATTTTAACAGTTATATACTTGCCATAAATTGAAACGTTAAAGCAGGGGCTGACTTAATTCTGTCAAATGATTCTCAATTGAAGTCTCTCCTCCAGTTCCTCCATCCTCCATACCTACCCATCATGCACGTCTGTCTCTGATTGGCTCCCCACCCTGCCAGTCATGCTTTGCTTTTTGTTGTATACTACACTCTTTAAAGTAATAATAAATATCTTTATTTTTAAGAGTGTACAGTGCCAGGGGCCCCGATTATTGATGCCTACGGTACCTTCCCTACTGATGTTAGTGAAATTCAGAATTGCAGTGTCACTTTATTATTTTACAGTATGTTGAGTTTGTATATAACACCTGAATAATAAAACATTTATTCAGCTGTTGAGCATGGAAATGTTTCTTTATGGAAATCAATACAGTCTGAGCCACCGAAGGTGCAGTTTGGGCTCATTATAACACTTCATACTTCCGTAATAACTGTAACATGAAAGCATGTTTCACAGTGTGGAAGAGTGCACGGGTGTCTATGGTGTCTGTGGCACAGATGAAGTGAGGGTAAATCACTCTTTTGTCCTCTGTCTCCTTGCTAGTACCTTTCTGTTCATATAACTGTGCAATGAACTGCATGGCATCTTGTACGTCCTGACGTTTGCCTGAAGGTGGCGCCAAGCCGCAGAGGAAAGGAAAAGAAAGTGTGAATCAGGAATAACGAAATAAGAGATCTCGCATATAATGCTGCCTTTTACTTAACTTAATTTGCACCAAATTACCTTCAAATCTGGGAAAGTATGTTTTTAGGTCTGAAAACTGAACCTTCTCGGAGAGGATGTCCATTTTGTTTAAAAGGAGGAGGATGAATGAATTAGCAAACCACGGTGAGTGGATGGTCGTGTAGAACAGTGACAAACTCTCTTCCATACGGTTCTGGAGAAAAAGAGAGGAAAAGTATAGCTACAGATTTATCAATATTACACACAAACGACTGGAGACATATGAGAACAAACAGATTTAAAAGGTGGTAGTAGGCTACTGTATGCTACGTTGTTCTGAATTCAGAGCATAGCTGTTTGGAAGAGAATTCTATCTAGTGGACAGCTAGGATTGCAAAACTAGGACTGCCATCTCATTACATGTAGCCTATGCCATCTCATGAAGTATGGTTATTATGGTGCAAAAATGTCTTAACTTTTGGCAGTCTGATCAAGTTGAGAAAAAATGCCAGCTGAGCACACAGCATTGTGGGAGATGTAGTAAGTCATCTGGGTATCTTATAGTTAGGCTAAATGTTTACTAAATTTGAAGCATAAAACGGAGTATACTGATTTGCAATGGGTGTAAAAAGTCTGCACACGCCTGTTAAAATTTCAGCGTTTTGAAATGGAAAACAAATCTAAAATCATGTTAGATCTTTTTAAACTTTTAAGGAAAAAGGAAAATCAAAAACCTACAATTATACTCTTATAATAAGACAAAGTAGCCTACTTTGTTACCAATCAAATCAAGATGTACTAAGTTGATAGATTCTCATTTAAAAAGACTGGCTGGCTGTTGTATTAAAAGCTAAATGAGTTCCAACCAAGCATTATTTCAGGAGTGTGTACACTTGTGCAACCAGGTTATTTTAAGACTTTTTGTTTTGTTTCACTCTTATGTTAAAGTGTAAAAATATGACATGATTTTACTTGAATTCATTTTTTACATCTCAAAAAGCTGCATTTTTAACAGGGTGGTGTAGACTTGTTTTATACACAATGCAGGTACAGTATCCCACAATGCACAATGCTCAACTCAAAATTTGGCTAATGAATAATCATTAATTGATTAGACTGCCAGAAATTCTGCAACAGAATTTCTAAATGCCATTTTTTTTTAAATGATCAAACTGATTAGTTGCCTTTCAGTCAATCGGTCTTTCCTTTTGGCCACGAAGAATGGAAGGCAAAGACAGTCAGATTTTGTTTCTGATTTGTGATGTGTTATTTAAAGCATTGTAAATATGGCCACATGGTAAATTAACTTTCCCTGAAAAGGATTTTAGGGATAGAGAGAGGTAGAAACTTACATCCTTGTTGTTCTCTTCCAGAGATTGGTCGTACTCGCTGAGAGAAGCTAAAAATATGATCGATGTCACATTCTCAAAGCAATGAATCCATTTTTTTCTAAATCCTCTCTGACCACTGACTTCTACAAACCTTTAAAGACCGACAATCCAAAAATCAAGTTTAGATGTCTCATAATGATGACAGATATTTGCATGAACGGTCCCTTTAAATTCCAGCATAACCCAACATTATTAGGTTTGGTTGGTCATTGCAATACCTGAGAGTTGTCTTCTCAAAACTAATGCACTGCTCTGTGATGCTGTCAGTGGGAGATCGGACATGGAGAATATCTTGATATGTTGGGATGTAGTCTTCGGTTACAATGCGGGCCATGTTTCCAATAAAACTTTAAAATCATATTTGTTACTATTAATTATATCTTCACTTTGATCAAAAACCACACCATATGACATAGAATTGCTTATGAAGGCCTTATTTGCATAACATTCATTACAGGAATTGTCAGTGGCATCAGAAAAAGAGAAGATGAAATATTCACAAAAAAAAGACAGGAACTGACAGGAACCGTTAAGCATTTACTACTTAATGGAGTCTAGTCGCTGATACTCTCTGCGTCGACTGTAACAGATCTTAATGCCTTTGTCTGCCCATAGGTGACAAATAATCCGTGCGTGATTCCACGGCAGCTGCGTTATTTGATGTATGTCCTGTTCCTGGACCCACTGGGCATAAATCTAGATATCACAGACCTAATGAGACTGACAATACATTACAGTACAAGATCCAATCTTTCTTAAATTGTTGCAAAACATTCATAAAAATGGTGAAATTGTGTTTTATTTTTTTGTATTAAATATTTTTTAATGATTCACTGATCAATTATTTTTTAATGATCTTTTAGATTTATTCTTAAAACATTTTTTTTATGATTTATTTATTTATTTTGCTAATCCCACCACCTTGTTGAACGAATGTGTAACATATGATTGTTGATATAAAATGGCCCTCATTAATCTCTGGGCTCTGAAGTTACTTTAAAAACACACTCGGTCTCTTGATCACCTCGTTCTGTGGGTTGGAGTATGGGATCTTTAGCGTCTTCATGGCATCTGTCATTTCACTCATAGCTTGGAAGATATTCTGAAAAACCAGTTTAGTGTAGCTACGTCTCTCGTCTTCCGAGTATCCGCTTCCATGAATTATTCTCAGCTGCTTCATAAACGTTTTCTTTCCACTTTCTCTCGTGCCTAAATGAAAGCCAAAAAATGATTTTTCACTTTTGCTGTACTAAGTAACTACACTGAACAAAATTATAAACGCAACACTTTTGTTTTTGCCCCCATTTTTCATGAACTGAACTCAAAGATCTAAGACTTTTTCTATGTACACAAAAGGCCTATTTCTCTCAAATATTGTTCAGGGAAACTGAAGTCATACATCCACAAAAATTACAATGGAACAAGAAAAGTTAGTTTTGGGAATCATCTGGTCTAATCAGCTTGTATATGAACACACGCCAGTTAATTCCCCTCAAGAGATGATGGAACAAACCCCTGCTTTTGTCACAATATCTAAAGATATCTTTATAATCTATATCTAAATTTACTTTACTTTTAGAGACCAAAAAAAGAGTATACAAATAATTTTTCACAACTTTTACCTTCTATCTTGTTGTGAGAAAGTAAAAAAATAACTAAATAAATACAAATTAAAAAAATACACACACATGATTGCTATATATTAGATTGTTTGGATGGAACTTATGATTTAAAAAACAAACAAACAATCATCTCACCTAATAAAAGCAATCTCATTTCTGTCTGTTCTCCTTTCTCTTGCTCAGTACGGTGTTGATGTCATTATTTTTGGTGGTGACATTCCTCTTTTTTTTTAGACAAGCAGCAGATGCAGCATCCACAGTGGTCCCCCATTTCTCATTTTTCAATTACAAAAAAGAAGAAGAAGAAAAAAGGAAATACATCAATAATAATATTCAGAATGATTATTTTTATTAGGCATGTACAGTATGTTTGTACTTTTGTATTGTCAATTGATAACCAACTGCAGGCTAAGGCTAAAAGTAGCCTAATGTTAGTGTAATCTATTAACTACTCACATAATAAACCCGATCTTTTTTAGGTAGGCTAAGTAGGCTATATGGGAGTTATGTCACAAAATATTTTTTATCACAATTCAATAAAAATATTGTAAGTTACTAATAATAACGCTTTCGTTTCCATGGTTATTCAAACAGTAAATAAATTATACAGAAAGCGGGCAAAGACCAAAGAACATTATAACTGACTTCAGCCTAGCAGGAGTTTAAGCACTCTCAAAAAAGAAAAGAAAAAAAAACCTCCCATTATCATCATTAAAGCACTGTGAAATGAATCTTACTTGCGTGGTTGTTTGATTCAATTTAGGTGTGTTGTTTGATTCAGGTCTCAAGTTCGATAAACAAATTAATTCTGTTGTTAAATCCTGTTTTTATCATTTACGACGTCTCGCAAAAGTCAAACCTGTTCTTTCTTTAAAGAACTAGCCTAATGTTAGTGTAATCTATTAACTACTCACATAATAAACCCGATCTTTTTTAGGTAGGCTAAGTAGGCTATATGGGAGTTATGTCACAAAATATTTTTATCACAATTCAATAAAAATATTGTAAGTTACTAATAATAACGCTTTCGTTTCCATGGTTATTCAAACAGTAAATAAATTATACAGAAAGCGGGCAAAGACCAAAGAACATTATAACTGACTTCAGCCTAGCAGGAGTTTAAGCACTCTCAAAAAAGAAAAGAAAAAAAAACCTCCCATTATCATCATTAAAGCACTGTGAAATGAATCTTACTTGCGTGGTTGTTTGATTCAATTTAGGTGTGTTGTTTGATTCAGGTCTCAAGTTCGATAAACAAATTAATTCTGTTGTTAAATCCTGTTTTTATCATTTACGACGTCTCGCAAAAGTCAAACCTGTTCTTTCTTTAAAGAACTTTGAAAAAGTTATCCATGCATTTATTACTTCACGCCTTGATTATTGCAATTCACTTTATTATGGTGCAAATCAATCATCCATCGGGCGTCTTCAAATGGTACAAAATGCTGCAGCCAGGCTGCTGACTGACAGTCGAAAATTTGATCATATCTCTCCCATCTTAACTTCTCTGCATTGGCTACCAGTCAAACTGAGAATAGATTTTAAAATTCTAGTTTTTGTTTTTAAAGCATTACATGGCCTAGCACCAGCGTATCTTTCTGACATTTTACATTATCACAATCCTTCTAGGTCACTTAGATCAGGCAGCCTTGGATTGCTCTCTGTGTGTAGATCGAGGTTAAAACATCGTGGAGACCGAGCTTTTGCGACAGTAGGCCCCAAACTCTGGAACAGCCTACCGGTTTCGATCCGAATGGTGTCATCACTTTCCTCTTTCAAATCAAAACTTAAAACACATTTGCTTAGTGTGGATTTCTAATTTATTATTATTACTATTTTTTATTTTTTATTTTTTTTTAGATATTATCATTTGTATCTTTATTTGACTTCTATTATCTGTACAGCACTTTGGTCAACCCTGGGTTGTTTTTAAATGTGCTTTATAAATAAATAATGAATGAATGAATGAATGAATGGTAGGTCTGCACTTTGTTTATGACGAGAGAATTCGCGAGAGCAGAATTCAGTCAGCAAGTGCCTGCAATGAAACAAAACTCGGGTGTTTCAGCGATGATGCCTCTGATTGGCCATTGCATTCATAAGCTCAACAGAATCGTGTGTGAATGGTAGGCTAATAATGCGCAACGCTGTAAAAACGCATAAGAAGCAAAATGATGTGAAAGGAGAAAATATGATTCAATATTTATAAGAAATATAATGCAATATAATATAATGCAACGGGAGCAGATTTAAATTTAATGCCACAATCAACACTTTTCATTTAATTTCCATTTTCACTTGATCCTGTATTTTTGTCCACTTTGGTGGAATTTTTGCTCCAAGCCCCCTTTAAAGCAGCACTATGTAACTTTTGGCGCTCTAGCAGTTAATAAACAGAACTGCACACATCCCGCGGAAGAACATTCCAACCGGAGCTACTTCTCCAAGTTTATGTCTATGGCGATTCACGCAGGTATGTGACGACCCGACCAGGCGACAATAGTCCAAATATAAGTACTTATTATAAGTGTACCGTAGTGATTCGGAATAAGACAAAAACGCGGTTTGGAAGATGAATTCATGATGTACTCGCTCATTATATACATTTAGCAAATTTTGAACACAGAAAAAGTTACATAGTGCTGCTTTAATTTCTGACCCTTGGCCAGGAGATGGCTAGCTTTGCTCACGGGGGAAGCTGGAGAAGGAAAACCCGGAGTGGAGTTTCGGCCGAACGATTACAGAAGCAGTAGCAGGAGGGAAAATGTAGAGCCGCTCCACTCATATACAAACAGTTAATACATCACCGTGTTAAAACAACAATTAAACTAAACAGAGGAGACAAAGACTCACCTTCATTCGAAAAGCATACGACGCGAAATGGGAAACAATATCAATCTTCATTGAAATAAACATCAAGCCTTGAAGGAGTTTCCCCAAACAAATTTTTTTGTCAAATGCGTCAATGTTCATTACAAACTAGTTACATTTCCAGAAAGTCTGCCTTTATTGCATATGCCAGGTATGTTGAACAAAAGAAGAGAACCACATTCTCAGAAAGAAAAGAAAAATAATTAGGCTACAAAAGCTGTCAAAAAGTACACATATGTAGCCCACTTTACTTACCCTTAACGTTGCATGTAAGTAGCCTACTTTAAAGGTAGAAATTAGTAGGCTACCTATAAACTCTACATATTGGTAGGCCTACCTTAATGATACAGATAGCCTACCTTTCAAAAAAGGTACCGCCCCAGTGACAGCTTTTGTATCTTTTTTCTGACAGTGCTTCCTCCAAGCTTAGTAGCCTAACTATTTAAAGTGACTTTTCCCCCATAATTTATCAACATTTGTGAGATTAATGCTGCCTTCACGTGCTATCGGAAATGTCCTATTTCCCATTTATGAAGTCGTGATTACGAGCTTGTCGTATACAAGTGCTTTAAAGCAGCACTATGTAACTTTTGGCGCTCTAGCGGTTAATAAACAGAACTGCACACATCCCGCGGAAGAACATTCCAACCGGAACTACTTCTCTAAGTTTGTCTATGGCGATTCACGCAGGTATGTGTTACTCCGCAGCGGTGACGACCCGACCAGGCTACAATAGTCCAAATATAAGTACTTATTATAAGTGTACCGTAGTGATTCGGAATAAGACAAACACGCGGTTTGGAAGATGAATTCATGATGTACTCGCTCATTATATACATTTTGCTAAATTTGAACACAGAAAAAGTTACATAGTGTTGCTTTAAAGAGAATATTCAATTTAGTGTTTTACATTATTGAAACTTTACAAGATATATAAATATTAATAAGAATATAATCTTTAAATTTGGATGTGCCTTGTTGCCTACCTACCGCCACATACATTTTTAGCTTTCGGATGCAGCTGTCATCATTGTCATGACATTTTTTTTGTAGACCAACCCAGAAATTAGGATCTCGCTGGTTCCCTCAAAAAAAAAAAAAAAAAAAGGATTTTTCCATTGACTTTTGGATTATTACAGAAAATAAGCACAGTGACCAACAAAAGTTTATGATTCTTACATGTTTTCTTCATCATGATGATTTTCACAAATGAGCATAACTTAAGAATTTTAAAGCCTAAATATAATCAAAGCACACACTAAAGACAGCTAAATGAGTACAAGTAAATGTACTTGGACAAAGAGAAGGAGACTGTAGACCTGCTTTAGCTTGATTATAACTGCACATGTAAACAAAAAAAGGTCCACGCTTACAGCATTGCATTCTCACTTGACTCAAAAAATGATTGATTCAATCAAAGAATGTCACAAGTCACAAAGACCCATCAAAGACAAAGTTTGATGGGTCAGTTAGCATTGAAAATGTGCCTTTAAAGGGTTAGTTCACCCAAAAATGAAAATTAGCCCATAAATTACTCACCCCCAAGTCATCCTAGGTGTATATGACTTTCTTCTTTCAGACGAATCCAGTCGGAGTTATATTAAAAATTGTTTTTGATCTTTCAAGCTGTTTCATGGCACTCAGTGGGTGTTGCATGCATCAGTTCAAAAGCACTTAATTAAAATGCGCCCATCCATAAAAAAAAGTGTCTCACACGGCTCCGGGGGGTGAACAAAGGCCTCCTGTAGCGAATCGATGCGTTTTTGTAAGAAAATATCCGTATTCAAAACGTAATAATCACTTTAATGTAGCTTGCGCTCACTGTTGTACACTGGAAGCAGCTTCGGGAGGATGATGTAAGATGTCGGCGTTGCGCATGCGCCGGTGAGTCTCGTGAAAACCAACGTTTGTTAACAGGAGCAAAGGAAGCAAAGTTTCCTTACTTTAGCAAAAGAAAACCAGTCTCCTCTTGGCTTA